TTCCAGTCAACAATAGGCTGACTGGGATGTTTTAGCATTTTAGCATTTTAGCACTAAAAAGAAATGAACTATCAAGCCATGAAAAGACGTGGAGGAAACTTAAATGCCTGTTACCAGGTAAAAGAAGCTAATCTAGAAAGGCTACATACTGTATGATGGAATTCAGGAAAAGGCAAAACTGCACAGACAGTTAAAAGATCAGTGATTGCCAGAGGGAGGAGAGAGGGAGGACAATAGTTAAGGTACAGAGGATTTTTAGGGCAGTGAAACTATTCTGTATGATACTATAATAGTGGATACACATCACTGTACATTTGTCAAAATCCATATTACTTTCAACACCAAGAGTGAACCCTGACATAAACTAAGGACTTGGGATCATAAATGACAATGCTATCAAGGTATGTTGATCACTTGTAAGAGATGTACCACTCTGGATGGGTATATAGATAGTGCGGGAGGCTGTGACATGTGGAGGGGCAGGGGTTATGTGGGGACTCTCTGCACTCTTTGTCCCATTTTGCTGTGAATCTAAAACTGCTCCAAAAAAATAAAGCCTATTCAAAGAGAAAGTTAGACATACAAGCATCTAATGAAGAGACATGTGCAGGTAAACAAAAACACTAAAACTAGTATGATGCAGAAATTATGCAACGAGACTGCCAGGCTTCAGCTCCCAGCCCTACTCTATCATAGTTTGTCACTTTGGCCAACTTCTTGGTTTCCTCATCTGTCAAAAAAAGGACACCCATCTCTGAGGTTGCTGGGAGGCCAACATAAGTTAACCCACGTAAATGAAGTGTTTAGAAAAGCATCTGGCAGTTAGTAAGTACACAGTAAATGTGAGCTATCATTAATATTAAAAGAACAAAAAAAATCAACACAGTATTTTATAAAGCCCACCATGCCAGGAGACGTCATATCTGTCTGCTAGGGGAAAAAGTATACAGATTTTCTTTTTCTTTCTTTCTTTTTTTTTTTTTTTTTGGTGTGTGTGTGTATACAGATTTTCTTAATGTATCACAAGTATGGGCCCTAAGATACAGTAGAAAATAGCATATTATGACAAAATACAATCTACAGACCAGATAATCTCTTTTGATACACTTAATTCAATAAGGCTATTTGGTGATACTGTTATAGTTTTAAGTAGAGTCATCCTTAAAATATGCAGAAACACCATATATATAAGATTGAGGGGCGCCTGGGTGGCTCAGTCGTTGAGCATCTGCCTTCAGCTCGGGTCATGATTCCAGGTCCTGGGATCGAGTCCCGCATTGGGCTCCCTGCTCAGCGGGAAGCCTGCTTCTCCCTCTCCCACTCCCCCTGCTTGTGTTCCCTCTCTCGCTGTGTCTCTCTCTCTGTCAAATAAATAAAATCTTAAAAAAAAAAAAAAAAAAGATTGAGCTTCAAGTTGAGGAGATGTAAGATTGAACATTGAGGGAGATAAAGATTATTGCATACCATGAGTCAAGATGAGATTTTGCAAATAAAATGTCAAATCTCTTCGGACAGGGTTGTTTGGCAGGATGTATCTGCCACACAATCTGTGCTCTTTTTTTTCGAATTGAGTAATGTATTTTGTATACTCAATGTTGGACTACATTAAAACCCATTATTTTAGATTTTTTAATTTCTTCTGGTACTTGTATTCTAGGATTTCCGAAGGTACAGGAAAGGAAACAAGAGAAGCAACAAGAAAGTTTGGACAGGCAGGGCAATGATTAGACAGCAATCTAGACCAGCGGTTCTTGGGTCTTAACCTGCATCAGAATAACCTGGAAGCTAACAAGAATCACGGAGGCCCAGTTTCTCTGAAGCAGGAAGAGGTCTAGGCCTTTGCTGTTTTACCAAATTCCCCAGGTGATTGTGTCTGGACCCAAGTTTGATCTGGACCATCTGTCTAATCTCTCCCTTGCTACTGAGGGGCCAGAGAGGAAGTGGTGTGGGTGTTACCTGGGAAGCTGGTTAGAAATGCAGAATCTTGTGCTCCACCCTAGATCTACAGAGTTAGAATCTGCATTTTTTTTTTAAAGATTTTATTTATTTATTA